AAACTCCTTAAAAAAGCTTTTCAAAGCCCAACTCTCATGCCATTAGAAAGAGGATCATGAAAAACCTATAAAAAAATGGTTCATGAAATTTTAGTTCACTCATAAAGCTAAAGTCCCCCTGTTCTAGCAAAAAATGCCCACTGTGCACGCTAGCGGTGACGCCGATAGCGCGGATAAGCTGACACGGACAGACTAAATGATGAACAACTATACATAAGCGCACACCCACCTATACATTACCACATATTTACCATACATGCTACTTGGTTTGCAGTCTATTTCTTTTGTATTCTGGAGCACCAGAAAATACATTTCGATTCCACTTTGATGGATAGCACCGTGTTCAAAATAAGTAGTTTTTGGTTGCGCTTTAGGTTTTAAAGTAATCGATAGTGAAACTTTCCCGTCTTTCCTCTATATCTTTTTATTCTTATAGTATATAAAGAAATGTTCAATATGTTTTGTTTAGAGAAAACATATTCAGTTTTCAAAGTCAAAAAATTTCGGCAACTTCTCTATGTGATATTGTGTGGTGATCTCGTGGACGCTCTCTTAAGGATATTTGAGTGCTCATATACCCTTTGGTTTATGAAGGATGCAACGTATAAGATACCCTTTTAGCTCATAAACCCAAAAAGCGTAGATGAAATGGTTTATAATGCTAATAAATCCTTTTGGTGATTTATTACTCTGCTCATTTTTTCGACAGTGTTGTATCATCTATAAAAGACGATGTTCTGTATTATATGGGGCACAACTGGAGTGTAGTACAATGTAGTGAATATCAGTTACATGAAGAATAGCGATAACGCTTTCCCTCCAGTTTGTGATTGTGATCACAAATAAAATAAATGAATGCTGCATCAATAAGGAAGTATTATCCAATTTGAGTCAAAATTTTCCGTTACACTAGATTCAACGAGTTCTAGTGGGTTGTGGGGTAGTGCCGAGGGCGCAAATTTCACGCACAGAAATATCATGAAAACAACAGGTCTAATTTGAGTTTCTCCATAGGTTTTTTTAGAAGCATATAATAATTCTATTCACTTCCAGATTTTTCATGGGGCAATACTTAATTCCAATTTTATATCCATCTAACACGTTTTCAACATCAACAGTCGTTTTTGAAAGCGACTGCGTTCCAATTAGTCAAGATCTAAATGAAAAATTAGGAAAAGCTCTTCCATGTCCAATTCCGAACCAAACGATGTCAGCGGTTTGCAAATCCTGTCCGAAAATTGTTTGTATGATGGATTATAGTTTAGATGATGCGATACTCCAATACCGAAAATTATTTTATTCAGTAGATGAAAGGTCACCCAAGGATTGCATTATTGATGATCTACTCGATCATATTGAGAGATGGACATTGAATTCAACGCCAGTTATTATTGATTATGGAGGTGGATTTACCACAGAACATTTACATTTGATACAATGTGCGTTTCCTAAATCTATGATTTATTCAGTTGATATTCTATACGAAAAGCTAGATTTATGGGTCTGTAAGATCAACGAAGACGAAACAAAATGGTGTTTTATACCTGTTTTTCCTTGTACAGGTGATTTCAACCAGGATAAACTGATTGAACATATACGACAAGAGTTGAAGGGATCAACATCAGTTTGGAACGGTATTGAAATATCTGAACTGAAGTTTTTTTCGAAAATCGATCATTTGAAAATTTATGATCCATATTCAGAAATTCTTGAATTGAAAGAAATCAATTTTATTGATACAACAGAAAAATGTGAAATTATTCCATGTTCTGTATTTATGGCTTATTATACTGGTCCCTTTACCCCATGCGTCAAGTCTCTGAAACCAAAAGGTTTGTTTGATCCTATTCATACAAAACTCGATATGGATAATGCTTACGGAGAACGAAGTCGCTCAAGATTTATCGATAGGTTTAATGGAACAACTACTACAATCAATAACGGAAACACTAAATGGAATAATGTTCATACTTACTTAGAAGAGTTAAAATCAATATTGTCTGACAAAACAACAATTTTACCACCCCCAAGCTTACCATTTAATGGTTGGCTCAATACTAACATGATTTCAAAACATTTGGATGGACAACTTTCACGAAACACTACGAAGAGCAGTTTTCTCGATCCATTGGCAGAATCATTTTGTATCAAAGGAAACGTTTTATCATCTGTTGAATGTTTAAATTTAAACTCTTTCCTTGCTGAAAATGGTATTGAATTTCTTACTTCTTCGAATGTTCGACAGATTATTGAGCAACATGTAGGAGGGTT